TTTCACAGGAGACGCTCTGTAAAATTCCCCACATATGGCAAGCATATTTTAGGGGAAGCACCATGACTAGAGGCCAGTGGGAGAGAAAGAAAAAGAAAATAATGAGAAAAATCTTCAATAAGCCTAAATTGTTCCAGTCAGACTGCTGAGAAAGAATGCAAAGGATTGGAGATGAAAATTATTGGTAAAATCAGCATTATAACATAGCTAAACTCTTTCCCTACTTCAGATGTTACTACAACTCACTCTGAAGGGCAACAGCAGCACCTGGGGAACCAGCCTTTATATTTGGCTGTAAGTACTTTGCTTTACACGATGAATATCCATGAAAAGAGAATATTCTATAAGATTAAAAAATTCTCTAATTTGCAATTTCAAATATTCTTAATTTTACTTGTAAATAATTGCGGGGAGGGGATGCAGGTATAACTAATTCTCACTTGCAGTGGCTTCCAACACTTCAAGTACAATTGTTTTCTAAATCCCTGTTTTCTCCATGACACATTTAATGATGAATTAAATGCACAATGGAATTCCCAACATAAAAGAACTAACAAAAACCTTGTTAAAATGTAAACAACTGATATCTAAGTGATCTGTTTTAGAAGAATTGATTTGTCAAATTGTCTAAAAATAAATTCATTAAAAAAAGGCTCCCGTTTCTGCTTTGAGGAGTTGCTGGTGCAAGTTAATCAGATCGCCCGAAGGACCACAAACTAACCCTGCAGGAGAGAGTGCTGCAGTGGAAGGAACACTGGCCTGGAGTCCCCAGGGGCCTCGTCCTAAAGGTTCTCCAGAGCCAAGGCTAGATTCCTACCCCGAGGGTGGGAGAGAGGTGCCGAAGCACTTGAAGTGGAAATCTGACCGAGGCTACGGTGACGGCGACGGTGTGGGAAATGGGCTATCAGTTTCTGAGACAGACTCAGGAGTAAACGTGTAATTTAGTTGTCCGGGCAAGAAATAATGACAGCCCTGAGGTCAGCTCTGGCTCCCACTGCCCCTCTGCCATCCTCTCCTGAGGCAAAGGCACGGGGTGGGGTGGGGCGGGGGAGAACAAGGTTCCCCGCCAGGAGTGTGTCTTCTGGAAGTGTGTCTCCTTGGGAAGAGGAAAACAGTACTGGATTTGCCACCTACGAGCTGTGTGACCTCAGGTATCTAATTAAGAAGATATATTTGTTAAGCATTTTACTAAGTACCAGACACCTCTCAGAGATGGCTTTAAGTGGATTTTCTAATTTATTTAATCCTCTCACACGTTCACTTATTTGACTGTGAAAGAACAGTAATGCCTAGTAGTTTACATGCTATTTTGAGGACTACAAGAGAGGTCATATACATGAAAAGGCTTTGTAAATCCTACACATTTAAAAAGGTTAGCTATCTAATGAATGACTCTCAATGTTTTTTTTCTTAATCTAAAAGTGCTATGAGTATTTTCTTTTCAATCCCCATCTATTGGAGAATCCACAGGTTGATAAAAAAACAGTTGTTCATGGTTGATTTTTGTATCGCAAGCCATCAAACATGGACACTGCGATGATTCTCTCACCTACCAGAACACTGCAGATATGAAGCCAAGTGTTTAAATTACAGCTGCTAAAGGGAGACCCACTTATTTGGTTGTATTTCTCCATGAGAATGGTTCTAAGAAGCGAAAGCCAAGGCACGCCTTCGCAGCTTCAGGATAACATGTGAGGAAGAACTTCCCCGCTCCTCATGACGGACTGAAGCTTCATGGCCATTCATTCTATCCAAGCACTGAGGGCGCCAGACAGACACAGTCTCTGTTCCCACTACCAAAACGGTGATGAGCAGCTGTGTGGGGGGGTGGTTCACGGCCACTAAATTTCAGCCAACCCAGATTGGTGCGAAAAAGAAGCAACAAAAATTTAAGATTTATTTCATGTTCAAAAGAGATAATTTTATGGCAAATAAAAAAAAAACCCTGGGCAACATATCAAAGGCATACGCAAATGGGAATATAAGAATCAAAGTTCAATTTTTTAAAAAATCAACTCTACAGGAAAGAAGACTTGGTCGACAAATCAAAAGGCATAGAAAAAAGACTTAGGATCCATCATGGAATGGAATGTATGGACCTTGACTGGATTATCGTTTAAAAAGCCAACTATAAAAGCCATTTCAGGAGAATCAGTGTAATTTGAATATGAACTGGGTGTTAGATGCTCAGTGGAATTATCAGCTTGGTTGGGCATGATGACGGTATTATGGTTATGTGAGAAAATTTCCTTAGTTTACAGAGAGGCACACTGAGTGACGTGGGGAATGAAACGCCACGATGTGTGGGATCTGCTTTTAAACGACGCTCCAACAAAGAACACACCGACGAGGCAAATCACAGAGTGTCAGTAAGTGATGCGCACACAGTGTACTGTTCTCCCTACTCATACATGTATTTACACACATGTATAGATACGCACATTTATAAGTTATACATATCTGTAATTTTCTTTATGACCTATTTAAAAAAGGAAAGAGAACCTGATAAAATATCCAGCCCATCCACTGAATTGTGACAAGGTTGGCTGCCCCTATTAAATAAGTGGGTGGCCCACAACAAGCATGTCTGAAGGTCAGAAAGGCACCTGAGAAGGCTTTCGTTCTGTCTTTGTGGGATAAATTGCAGAGTGTGAGCTGATGAGGACCTCCCTCAAATTTTAATGGCAAAGTATCAAAACTCTCCCAAGGGAGCCAGAGGCAGGGATGGGAGGGGAACCCTGACAGAGTTTAGAGTTGCATGCAGGCCGCTCAAGACTCAGCCTCCAGTCACCCCCACTTTCTGACCTGGACCCACAGCCACTTTGGGATCTGATGAGCTCACTGTGCACTGTAAAAAACCAAAGGTGAGTTTTGTTATTCCTCATGTACAAGGGAACTCTTACAGAGTCTCCATTTTGCGGGTTACTCTCAACTGCTATTTTGAACAGCTAAGTACGGCGTGGAAGTAGGTACCTCAGTTATTGCAAATATTAAATGTTTATGGAGGTCACTGCCCAAAATCCTTTGCAAAGCAGAAAAAGTTATAATATGGTAATCATTCCTGGGGGTATGAGCTCAGTGTGCAAATACTGGATGTGGTTGTAAATAAGCATTCCATTTTATTTTTTAATCCTCACCCAAGGGTATGTTTGTAGAGAGAGGAAGAGGGAGACAGACAGACAGACAGACAGAAATGTCAATGTGAGAGGAAATCGATCAGTTGCCTCTCATGCACACCTTGACTGGGGATCAAACCCACAACTTGGGTATGTGCCCTGACCGGGGATCGAACCTGCAACCTTTTGGTTCATGGGACAACACTTCAATAAACTGAGCCACCTAGCCAGGACAAAAAGTGTCAAATTTTAAAGGTCACTTAAAAAAGCAAACTGGCCAGTGGTTACTTTGTGGAGGTCAGACATTTTCATCTGCAAGAAGTATGAATATAAGTACTAGGAATCCAATTTTTTAGAAACAGTATCACATACGGATCAAAAGAAAGCTTGTATCAAAAATAGCTCAAATGGGCTGAAGAAGATGTGCTTTGGCAAATGCTTTAGTGACTCAAAAAGTGGCTCTAAAGATGACCAGCACTGTAATGTCAGAGATGGGTGTGAACAGTTTGAATACACATTGTCTCAGAAAATCCCAGAGGCACCTTCCTTTCAGAGAGAAGGAGGGAGTTCTTCAAGGTCGGACAGCCAAGAGGGAGAGAGATCCGGGAGAGCTGGTGTGAAGAAGGGAAACCCTGTGGGCTAAGGAAGGCACATACCCTGTGTCTCCAAGCATTTGAACAGCAGTCGTGTGGAAAACACAGTTGACTTGTACGTACTTTTGAGAGCAGAAGTCAAGTCAATGGATGGAAATTATACCGAGAGGCAGGTGCCTGCTCAATATACGCAAGTAGTTTATAGCAGTTAGACCTGTCCAAGATTGAAAAGTCATGTGTGCATAAAGGCTTCCTGACCAAACTGTAAGGAAGAAAATTGAAGTAAATTACCTTTATGGTCATTTTAGCATTTAGATTTTATTCTTTTATCAAATGATCCCCAAGCTGACAACAAGTTTAACTTATTGATTACCAAGTTATTTTGTGAAGATGCTCTCCATTTATTATATACTTTTAAAATGGTTGCTCTGTGTGAATCATTACATTAAGTTCTGTGGGTGATAAAGCGTATATAAAAATAATAACTGTCAGAAGTTTATGACCAAGGAAGGAGATATACATGTGTACAACGCATGCCACATATGTATCCATGTGAATACATGTAACATACCATTCCTTGGCTGGGGCTTTGTCACAAGGCTAAAGCAGAATGCAGTGAGGGCATGATCCTATTAACGTTTTCATCTTTTTTGCTAGGGAGTCTCTCCAGGGCCTGTCTCTAGCCCAGGCTGTCTGCCTGCCCAAGAGCAAACTGATTCACCCCGAGTGAAAGTATGAGTCAAATATTTTGGCTTTGTTCTGAAACCCTTCTTGGCTTGCACTCAAGTCACTGGACATTGCCTTCCAATTTCCCAACTAGTTCCCTCAAATCTTCTCAACAGCTATTATACAAAGAATGAACAATGGGACTTATCCAATAGGCCTTCCAAATGTAATACCCAATGAAGCGACATTGGAGTCACATAAAAGCACTGGTCACTAAATTCTACGCTCGATCCCTGGGAGATTAGGCAACAGTATGAGGTCATCAGTTGGAATGCAACCCAGTAGGGGAAATCAATTCCAGGGTGCGAGTGAGTACTAGTGAGACACAACCTTGGTATATGAAACACTATAAACTTACCATGTGTAGTGGGGAAAAAATGAGAAGCATTACTGCATTATAATGATACTTAATGATATGAATACAAGGAAAACATTAAAATGAAACAATCGCATTTGATGAAATCATCCTTGAACATCTTTTTTTTGGAGCTAGGTAAACCATTCAAAATTTCCCTCAACTAATCTGCAAAGAAAAGTCTCCTTGGTTCTAAGCTGCAAAGCTGACCTGAGACTGTTGGAAAAGGGTGCTCTTCTCCGGGCTGATGCCGCAGGCAAGGAGCGCGGCCGTCATGTCCAGGACGCTCTGCCGCAGTGCAGCTGGGTCTTGGGGGACCGTGATGGAGTGCAGGTCGACGATGCTGTACAGCACGGAGCCAGGCTCGTCCTGCAGGCTCACCCAGCTCTCGATGGCCCCCAGGTAATTGCCGAGGTGAGGGATCCCTGTAGGCTGAATGCCCGAGAACACGCGCCTCGCGGCATCTTTCTGGAACAGAGGAGAACAAACACATTTGCTTCTGAGGCAGAGCCCACGAACCCTATGTCCACATTACCATAGCCACAATGGCTAGTCCTTGTTTTTAAACTGCAATCTGACACTCATCATTCTTAGCCATTTGCTGTGCAAAGCATGGCATTAAGTGCTATTAGGGACAGAAAATGATATTCAAAATGTGGGGTTTTGTATGCTCAAAACCTTATACATACAAAGACACATCAGAAAAGGTTTGCATCCTCAAGGAATACAATCCAACTGGAGCTAGAGGGCGTGCTCAAGAAAAGATGAGTAACAGAACAACGTGACAATATTATATAATTACCTAAGTGTAAGTATAGTTAGTTATGTAATTAATGCAATTAAGTATGCAGGATCTTGGGCTAGAAATCTGGAAACCTCCACTCTATTTCTAATATTACCTCTCAATAAAGTTACTTCACCTTTTCATGCTTCAGTTCCTTTTACTTTTGATAAATCACACTTGGTATTTTTCATGTCTTTGAGAGGAGTTTTATAATTTTTAAACTGGTTTACACTTTCTAATATTGAAGGTAAAACAGTAAATGAGAAGAAACAAATATAAAACAGGGTGAAAATATCCAATTTTCCCCGAATGATTTTGCAATCTATAGTGATAAACCAAAAATGAATATATATCAGTAAGTGTGCTGTGACTAAAAGAATGTGAAGAAATAAAATGCACCATTATCCTGGCAGCCATAACTTACGGGACTCCCACGATGTCACGGGCATTTGTGCTCGGTGCTTCACATAACATTATTTAATCCTTGTAATTCCCAATATGGTAGGCACTGTATCACCTCCAATTCGCAGATGAGCAAGCTGAGGCTCACAGATATTAACAGGTTGCCCATGGCCACACAAGGAAGTGAGTGGTGGAATGGGGGTTTCAGCCAGGTACCGCCGGCCTTGGAGCCCCAGAGGAGCCTCCCACTAGCTACCATGCTTTGCACAGACATCATCTAGTAAGACTTTATTGCATTCACTGTGTTAACTTTGCCACTCTCCTGTAGGTTTGAAAATTTTCAAAACAAAAGAAAGTTCCAGAGAAAAACAGACCATTCCAACACAGGTATCATTGTGTACCGTGTGTCAAGTTTCTCTAGTGTACACACCTACAAGTGGAAATTCCGGGCTACGAGGTACGCATGTGTACCTTCGACAGTAGTACAGTGTGCTACACCATTCCCAGCTGCGTAACAACCTGCAGTTTCTACCATTAATTCCCGTTGCTCCACATCCTCGACAACACTTTGCCAGCATTTTTATTTTTAACTAATCTGGGTGGAGATGAGGTAGAATCTCATTATGGTTTAATTGCATTTCTTTGATTATCAAAGAGGTTGAGGACCCTAATGTTATTGGCTACTTTCCCTTCCTCCTCTGTGGCCAGCCTTTTCAAGATATTTTGCCTACTTTTGTCAGATTGGATTGTCTTTTTATTGATTTAAGGATTTTTATATATTCCGGATACTAATATTTTATCAACTACACATGTGTTCAGTATACTCTCATTGTGTGGCTATCTGTCTTCTTTATGTTATCTTTTGATGAGGAGATGTTCTTTATTTTACCAAATACATAATTTTGACTAGATTTTTATGTCATAGAAAAAATCTTTCAATACCTTGAGGTCCTGAAGATACGTGTGTGCATACATACAGAGGTGGGCAACAGCAAGTTTACAGTCCTGAGCATGCAAAACACAGTTCACTCTTGAGTTATTATTATATTAACTGATGTATTATTTACACAAACAGCTGTAAACCTACTTCCCCCCATACATACTTACATAAAGCGTATGTATGTGTATGTGTGTACGCTTTAACATTTTATCTTTCACACTTAAACCAATATCCATTTGGAGTTTTTTGCATATGGTGTGAACGAGGCATCCAATTTCTTTTCTGTTTTTCTTACATAGATACCTCATTGTTCCAGCACCACTTAGTGCAGTTTCTTTCCCCACTGCTGTGGAAGGCCACTTCTGTCCTCAATCAAGTATCTCCATACGTTTGCGTCTGCACCTGCTTTTTCCGGTCTGCCCCACCGGCCCACCTGTCTGTCACTGCACCAGCACCACAAGTGCTTTGTAGCAAATCTCGGGGCCTGGTGGAGGAAGCCTGTCCACTTTCTTCTTCTTCTTCTTCAAGAGCATTTGCCCAGCATTGGCCCTCGACACATCTCAATGTATTTTAGAATCACCTTGTCAAGTTCCAGGAAAAAAAAAGTTGTTTTTTTTAATCAAGATTACATTGAGTCCATAGATTGCTTTGAGAAGAACCACCATTTTTATAACATTGGGTTCTCCAACCCAGGAGATCATGTAACATATGAGTATCTAATGTGAAACATGGTGACTGCAGCTGATAACACTGTGCTGTACAATTGAAATTTGCTTAGAGATGAGAAGGTAAATGTTCCCACACGCACATACATACACACCCATAAATATGTGAGATGATGGGTGTGTTAATCAACTAGATGGGGGAATCCTTTCACAATGTGTATCAAATTACCACAATGCTTACTTTCAATATTTTACAATTCTAGTTGTCAATTATACCTCAATGAAGCTGAAATTTTTAAAAACTAACGTTAAAAAGTCCTTACCTTTGTACCTGACACCAGCTCCTAAGAGCTAATCTCCTTTAGATACGTGAATGCTGAGACTACTTAAATTTTGCCTTTCCCTTCCCTAAGAATTCCCAGTCCTACAAGTGCAATCTATTTTCCCTACATCTGCTTATTTTCCTCTCTGCCCCTGAGATGACAGCCCTAAATTGGAATGCTACACCAGCAGCCCGAGGTCCAGAACCGCACTTGATCTAGGCACTCGGGAGACCTCAAAGATGTGGGACTCCGAGGAGGTGAAAAATATCTCTGAAGTGACTGGGAACAAATACATCTTACCACTTACAACCGCACACACGGAACAGGCCTTCAAATGACTATCTCCCTAATCATCCTTTAGAAACATTATTTTTAAAATAGTTTGTGGTTGAGAACTGAGGTTGGGGAGAGAAAGAGGAAGGGAGAGAGGGAGGGAGAGGAGTTAGCACAGAGTAAATACCTATCACTGAGGCTTCGTCCGGTACCTTGAGACCTTAACCAGCCCCGGGGTCCTGATCGGGAAATAAGCAAAGGGCCTTTCAGTGAGGTAAAAATGATTAATGGGCTTTAGGGATTGATTGATGAAGGGAGAAAGCAAAGCAGAAAAACAAGCTCTGAACTTAATAAATGGAAGAGAAAAAAAAATACCATCCAGAAATACTTGACCTAGGATGAAGAGGGACTGTTTATGTTAATGTAAATAGTTACGATGAGTAGTAATATCAATCTAAAAAAAAAGAATATTCATATTCCCACATAAATCCCTCCATGGTTAAACTAAAGAATTATTCCCCAGGAGAAATGCAGAAACTAATTCTTGAGAAAACTGGAAGAGAAAAGCACTGGAGGACAGACTATGGGAAAAAAGAACCGTGGCCAGTGGGAATGGACTCAACATGATCTAACACATCTTTTCCGCTCTGCACTTCTGTGATTCTACACGTCCACACAGAGGGGATGATGTTATCAAGAAATAAGAGCAATAAGCAATGTTTTCTTCAGTGTTCCAGGACCCATTAAAAAAATACAGCCTCTAAATGAGAAGTGAATTCCTGCTCCGAAAAATACACAGAGAGCATCCTGCTCTTCTGGGGTGAGTTTATGTTCCCGTCTGTTCCCTCTGCACGAGTCAGCAGGCAGCCTGGCGGCATGGCGGGGGAGACACGCCTGGTACCATGAGATCACGGGGCTGGAATGTGCAGTTTCGGTGGTGGGAGGATGGGGGTCCTGTGTTCAAAAGCACGAGAGCTGGAAAAAAAATGAAAATGAAAAGAGCATGGGCTTCCCAGTGGACAAAAGGCAAACCACAAAGAAAACAGCTTCAAGACTCGCCCACAGGCGTCCACGCACTCCTGGGAAGCCTGGAGCATCAACTGACAATCCCATCACGGTGTTAAAAAAGGATTAAAGGAGCATTTTTACAAAATAGGGCTTCATTTTTATTTCAGCTGTATTTCCTTAACGAATGCCGCTTCCAATCAGCACATTCATTGGCTCGTTTTGTAACAGGCGGGTGTTTGAATCAAAGGGAGAACTTATCAATCTGGCAGATGTAGCTGAAACTCTCCCTGTCTTAAGGTACCAAGCATATGCAAAATTCAGAGTCATCTTAATTTAAATTATTGCACCCAAAGCAATTGAAAAAAATCTCAAGCTGCTAATTAGGGAGCTTGAGATTTTTGTGAAAAAGATAATTTTTGTGATTATCGAGACAGAGCTTCTGTCTTTAATTGCAAGTGAATAAAATACATTAGAAGGAAGCTACCTCCTGGCTTTAAAACACTCAAGTTTTGTATGGTGGTGGGAACTGAAAACGAGAGATTTCAGGACTCATTACGTCAGGTGCTTGCATCCAGCTGCCACGTCGATTGTTCACTCATCACACCTTTTGCAGCTCCAGTCAAAAAGGTAAACCCACACCTCGGCTGAACAACCACTGACTGATCGGTTCCACGACTGGCGTGTTATCACAGACTGGGATTAAGAAAAGTCATCGACAACACTGTCAGCCAACTGAGATGAAAATGTCTTCCTGTAAGTCTATTTAGTCTTCTAATTGTGTAGAAATAAAACAAACAGCTTAACGTCCTCCGTAGCTGTCTGTCAGTGTCTCTCCATGTTATCAGTCATGTCACCCAACTCTCGGAATCCTAGTCTCCTCGAACCTACCTTCAAGGTTTTCTCTGTAATGTCTCTACTACCAACTAGTGACTCAAGAGCTGAAACGGAAGAGACCCGGCACAGAAAAACAGCACTTCAGACCCAGGTGCTGCCTCTTTGAAGCTTGCTTTGGCCACCGCTCAGCATTGTTCTGCCACAGTCAGCTCCTTCTTCCAGAAAGAACAGAGCCCCCC